TAAACAAAGGACATTAGTGATGTGGTAGCGAATGGCCCTGCTCAGCCATGTTTGTGGTCAAATCCCTTGATCGGCTATCACCTGATCTGACGCAGCCCTCAGTTTTTCAGGGTATGTGAATTGGCCGGACCCGCCTGAGAAGTTAAAGGCACTAACCATATCATACTTTAAAAAGCCACTTCGACCCCTAGTGGAAGTCGAATGCATGCCCCATCCCGAAAGGGATTGGTCAATGGTGAAAGCTTCATTGTTTTGTCTTTTTTATGTCTAACGATCGCTCGATTTAATCATCTTGGATTTCGGAGAATCGGTATTCAAAATACCGCTCATAAAGACCAGAAATGACAGACATTCCATGATGGAACAAAAGCGAAAATTGCCCTCCTTGTGATCAGATCGCTCGCACCTATCTCATCACTTATCCAGATCGCCTTCTGTAGAAGTGAGTGGCGTGCTGATGTTGGCGGTGCTGGCGATCCGGTGCAGGGTCAGCCGACGAAAAACCGTCGAGGCAAAAACGACGTCCGAACGTCACGCCCAACGCCGTATAAAAGATCGGATCCACAGCTGCAGGAGGTATCACCATCATCGCGCATTGTCAGCCAGCTCTCAATAAACGGGACTGGCCCAGTTTCGCTTGAAGCTTCCCTTGCTCAACTCTCCAGCAGCTCTTGCCTGGACTCGTGGACAGCTTCGCATATTCAATATTGTCATAGCTATTAGTAACCGGGAAGAGTTTTTAGTTTGAGATTGAGAACGTTTTACACGAATCTTGTCAACGTTTTTCTCATACAACTACTGAGAGAATTGATGGATACAGCCGACCTGAATTTATAGATTGAATGGTTCCAAAGGCGTCTCCTCTATACTTCTCGTGTGTCCTCTTTCGCCAGTTCCAAAAAATAACTGAATGCCTAACGACAGGTATTCAAGAAAAAACCGTCGCTTGGAAGGCCACTTGTAACGAGTGTTACTTGTCCACTATTCATTCGCGTTCTTATTGAATGGCACTCCCTAGGCACGCTCTACTTGTCTTTTAGTAGACTGAAATTTTTGCAAATCTAAGCATTTTGCTTTCAGGGTATGGACGAAAAGCTGAAACTGGCACAAGCCGAACAGGTGAAGAAGTTCGCCTTCTTCGGTGTTGCCGTTTCAACTGTAGCCACCCTTACGGCTATTGTGGCAATACCTATGCTGTGCATGTACATGCAGAACGTGCAATCTGGTTTGCAAGATGAGATCAACTTCTGTCGGACGAGAGCCGTTTCATTGCGTGGTGAATACGTTAAAGTAGGGATAGCACAACATCTAACCAGCACTTCTACTGCCACGACAATATTTCTTCATTTCAGCTTGAATCCGAAACGAAATCAGAGAGTCGCGAAAAACGTCAAACATATCAGTGCTGTTCATGCGGGATGGGTCCGGCAGGGCCAGTAGGAAACCCAGGACAGGATGGCGCTCCAGGCAACGACGGTCGACCTGGAGCTCCAGGAGCACCCGGACCGGATGCACCAAACGACTACGTTGCTCCACGGCCAGAGGACTTCTGTTTCGAGTGTCCTCCTGGACCAGCAGGAGCACCTGGACAGCCTGGACCCAAAGGTCCCCCGGGAAATCCAGGAATACCCGGTGAGCAAGGACCACATGGTCGGCCAGGCCCGAGTGGTGCGCCAGGACCGCAAGGTCCAATTGGAGAGCCTGGAGCTGACGGCCTCCCTGGAAAACCTGGTGCACCGGGACAAGTACGTGCTGTGCCATCCCCGCCTGGACCACCTGGAATGCCTGGAGAACAAGGACCACCAGGACCGCCTGGAGAAGACGGACGTCCGGGAAATCCAGGTCAGGCCGGACCTCCCGGTCCACAAGGAGACGCTGGACAAGATGGAGCTCCAGGAAATCCGGGTGCCCCTGGAGAACCTGGACCGCCTGGGCTGGACGGAAGCAAAGGTAGGCAGAATCTAAATAGAGCGCCATCTAAAATAGCTTATAGAGACAAACCTATAAGACGTATAACCTTTTCCACCACACTAGGTTCCTTAAGGAATTTCATACACTTCGAGTCTAATCGATAGAAAACTGCGCATTTTCAGTATCGCGAAAGCCGTCGATGTTTTTAATCAGGCAACCTCATTAAATGATTGAAATGCACGCGGGAGATGATCAAGATGAAAGCTCACCCGAGAAACTGGGTTGCAAAGCCCAAGACGGTAGAAAAACCCAAGTCCACACCGGCTAGAGTCCCCGCGTTTCAAAACCTGTTGAGACGGATCTTTTTCAAAAACGATTGCCTTTCCGATACAGGCCAAGATCATCATAAGGCAATAGTTGTATCTAGCAGTCAGAAATAAGACCTTCTAATGAGTAATTGGTACGGTGACTACTCTTTTATAAATGAACTAAAACTGATTTTCCAGGTGGATGCGACCATTGTCCTATCCCTCGCACGGCTCCTGGTTATTAAATTTGCTCGTGTACATAATTTATACAATAATATGTTGCAATCTGATGTGGCAAGTTGCAATAAAGATTTGATATTCTGAACTCCTACAATTACGGAGGTTCATTTGCCCAAATAATGACAAGTTAGCCACTTATATAGTTTCACTGTAGCGACTGAGCAAGCGGCAATTAGGCTTAATCATAAATTGTTCGCAGACACCAACTATAATATCTTCGCATCCGGTAGATCCCCAAGCATGTTGTCAGCTTAATAACTGTTGCTCCGGGAAAAACCATGTGGGTGGGAGGATTCGTTTGTCACTGTTGAACTAGCGATCGCGTGCGAGTTTAGAGTTGTGCCGCAACGTCATCAGTAATCGTGATTTGAGCGCAGATCGGTTTGGTGGGGCCATCAAGTGACATTCAGCAAAGCTTGGGCAGGTCACCTTGTGGAAACCTGTAAATTTGAGTAACCAGAGTGGCTCTCTCGTACCACTTCATAGCTGTACAAGGGTTTACAAGTCTCATCAAAGTAACACCTGTTTGTTGACATGACCTAGCAAAAGGAACTGGCAAAGGTCAGACGCCTCCCCCCCCCTTCCCTAGAACAGTGCCCTATCTTGTTGATTGGGAAGAAAATGTTCAATCGGAAAAAACGGTACGAACTTTCCACTCTAATTTCGTGGAACCATGAAGGTAAATAGCTCAACCGAAGCTGTTACGTCTTGTCCATCAAACAGCTTCGCCCTGATAGTTTCAGTTCTCTAGGGCTCAGCAGAATGATGTGATACTTTTCTTTTCCTTCAAAATAGTGGAGATATTCAGAGATATCCAAATTCGGAGGATGTCTCGTCCAGTCAGTCTTCAGGCTGAGCTTGTTTTTCGATTCCTACAGATTTTTCGGATCTCGTGGAGGCAATTCGACGGAACGGAATCATCCCTGCTTTTCGATTTTTCTCCCTTCACCAATCTTCAACTTTTTTCAAATTCACCGATCATTTGGGCGGACAAGAGTGGTGATGGAAAGCGCTGATCGCTTCAACAAGCGATTTGAAGGAAATTCGTGGCGCAGGAATCACAAAACGTCAAAAGATGAACGGTGCATTAGACACAACCTGATAGATGTCGTCTAACTAGGATAGTGCATGTAACATTGAGAGTGTACTTACCTTGCAGATGAACGCCAAGGTCAATCGAACCACTACCCACTCTTAGAAAGAATGAACTTGCTATTTTTGAAGTGTACATTACGGAAGCGCCTCTCAAGAAAGGAACTTGGAATTAATCAAATATTGACATTCCAGAGATTCAAAGGCCTGCAAATTTTGCATGGTTGCTACTGCACCTTTGAGAGGAACCACTGGTTTGGCGTTCTTGAGTAAAGTTAGTCTGGAGGGGTTGGCTGTCTTGAACATAAAAAGATAGAGTGCGTGGGTGGTGGGGTGAGGCGAGCGGCACCGTTCAGGAGGCCTAATTTCTGAATCGCCCCAGTCTGGGACAGCCATAGCAACTGTATTGCAATGTTCTGTCCGTATCCCCCATTTCGCAGTGTTTTCCATAGTCTTCAGTCATGCCAAGCAAGCGCAGCGGAATCCGCGATGTCTGGAGAGGGTCGTATGCTCAGGTGTCAATAATGAATAGAGCAGCGGCGACATTTTTAAAATGTTGCCCGTCATGAAAATGACGAAAAAGACATGGAAATTTCTGGCACAAATGTTTCTTACCTATTAGTGGACAGAACCCTGCTTAGGCACAACGTGAAGCGGTATCCTTCACGTCTTCCCAAGACAGCATCTTTGTTGCAGGTCTACCAAAGTGAAAATTTGCCGGTCGCAGATTCTGCATCAAAAGTTTCCTGTAGCAGCAGAATGTCCCCCACGGATGCAGCTCCATCCCCTTCCAGAAACTTTGGAAGGCTCTCAACGCCCCTCTTTCCACTTGTGTTAAAAAGGAATTGAAGTCAGGGGACGCCGATAAACATCTTTATGCAAAGCGCCACGTACACGTCTCCCATTTAGAAGGGCAGCGACCTAGAAATATAGATTCATGGAATATGGACCTAATATGAACTGATCCCCCACAAATCCTATCCGCAGCCTCAACGTGGCGTGGGGGTGAACGGTTTTGGACTGTTCCAAAACCGTACCAATGCGGAGGGTGCCACGTCAGAGCCTGGCGAGCTACGCGTGGTTAAATTTCTTCTCGCCGAAAACTAATAATTATGGGCCTCATTCCCCTGAACCTGAGGGAACCACCGACAGGGCGACGTCGGCTGGGACCGCTCGGGCGAGGCTGCAAGAATCACAGGGCCAACGGAGATTTAAGTCGCCCAGGACTAGGATGACGATCTGTACTTTCAACGCACGGACGCTTGCATCGGAAGCTCACATCGAAGATCTGATGTTGCAAGCCAGGAAGATCAAGTACGACGTCATCGGACTGACCGAGACGAGGAGGCATCGCCCGCTACACGCCGTATACGAGACTGGAGAAGAACTGTTCCTCGGAACATGCGACAGCAGAGGCGTTGGCGGTGTGGGCGTCCTCGTCAACACGCACTTGGCCATGAACATCGATTCGTACGAAAATCTGACGACCCGAATCGGACGTTTGCGATTGAGAAGATGTGGTTCAACTCCAGCTTTGACAATCTTCGTCGCCTACGCACCAACATCAAGCTACGACGAGGATGAGCTCGAAGCGTTCTATATGGAATTGGAGAAGTTCTACAAGGAAGATCATACCTTCTTCAAGGTCATCGTCGGTGATTTCAACGCTAAGATCGGACCAAGAAGAACGGCTGAAGAACTTCACATCGGAACTCACGGAACGGAGTGGAATGAGCAGGGTGAAAGGCTGTCTGAGTTTATCATGTCGACCCATACCATCCATGGTAACTCGCAGTTCCAGAAGCCCTACTCTCTACGCTGGACATGGGAGTCTTGGACAATTCCATAACGAGATCGACCACATCATCTTCAATCGAAGGTTTTGCCTGACCGCTGTTGTTCCTAAGTTCTACACGGGATCCGACCACCGTCTCCTTCGCGCAAGATTCCGCTTTTCGATGCGAGGAGAGAGAGCCGCAAAGTTCAAGAAGCGAAGCCCCAAGACCGTCATCAACTGGGATCACTTCACTTCTCTCGCTGGGCTCTGGGAGGATTCCGTCATCGACAACATCGACGAGGAATACGAACGGCTTGTCGCACACCTTCACGACTGCGCCAAGAAGTCAGAGAGTTCCAAGATTACCAAGAAGCGTCTATCTCTGGAAACTCTCGAGCTGATTCGCCAACGTGGAGCCGCACGAGCCGCAGGCAATTACCAGCTGACGTCTGAGCTTGCGAAGCTATGCAGAGAAGCGATAAAGGAAGACCTCAAGGAGAGAAGAGCAGCAGTACTGGTGGAAGCCGCAGAGGCTGGGAAGAGCATACGCAACGCCCGCCGCGACTTCGCCAACTGTAAGACCAAGATGACCGCCCTCCGACGTCCGGATGGAACAATCACCGCATCCAGAAGGGCAATGGAGAAGGTCATCCACGACTTCTACTCGGATCTCTTTGACAGCCACGTCCACCTGCAACCATACCGCTTGGAGGATGGATATGTCGTTCCTGCAGTTCTCCCTTCCGAAGTCCGACACGCCATCTCGTCGGTGAAGAATCGTACGGCACCCGGTCCCGACAGGATCAGACCCGAACATCTGAAGAATCTTCCGCCAGTTCTTGTCAAAACTCTGGCTCGACTCTTCACGCGCTACCTGTCGGAATGCAAGGTACCCACCTCGTGGAAAACCAGCAAGACTGTAAGAAGGGAGACCTGTACGACATTGGCAATTATCGCCCAATCTGCCTGCTGTCTGTAGTCTACAAACTCTTCACACGAGTCATCCTGAACAGGATTGGCAGAACACTAGACGAAGGACAGCCATGCGAGCAAGCAGGGTTTCGAAGAGGATTCAGCACGATCGATCACATCCACACGGTAACGAAGCTCATCGAAGTATCGCGAGAGTACGACTCCATTGAGACAGAAGCGGTTATCGAAGGCCGGGGTAACGTCAATGGGCAACCAGGGTATTCCTACTCAGTACATCAGGATTCTTCGTGAGCTCTACAGCAACTTCACGACCAGGATCTCACCATTCTACAAGGAGATCATCATCGACGTGAAGAAATTGTTAAAATTTCTGCCATTTACCGCGAGGGGGAACATCTTCGCTCTATTAGGGCTTGAACAACACTATTATTCTTTTTATGGAAGGGAAAATTTGTGCTCCCAAAACCGTGCATCCTTCTGCTTTACGTTATGTCTGGACAGCCCTGTGTCCAATGTGTCTGAACTAAGCTGTGTCCAATGAAAGGTGAAAAAACCCACATTAAGCCGGAACTTCCCGCGTTATTTTCGGTTCGATCTTCGAAGCCTCCAAGCGAGCTTAATGGTGGCTTCAGTGCATTTCATAAAGATCCTCCCAAAAAACCAATCACTGCTTACCGCTGCAAAAAAATCGTTTGCGGAGAATGTCATGCACTTTTCAAGAAGGTTGAGCCTGTAGAGATAGCTCATGCGGTGTTCCATCCTCACAGCACGCGGCGCAGCAACAGATATTGGACCGATACATTGACGGCTGTAAGGAGGTAGGTTCGTAAGTTCACTTCTTCCTGGAGGGGAGTCGTACCGACGAGGCGGTTTTCGCGAAGTGATGCTTGGCCCTAGGGGGGGGGAGGTACGAACAGAACAATCATAGCTAGCCGCGCCGTCGTGTGCAGAGCATCACGCGACGGTGCGCATCAAATTCTAGATGGGCATCAGCTTGTCCACTGGAGCAGCAAAACTTACGTGGACTTAGGCGGAGACAAGACTCTTTAATCCCAGTAATCTTTCCTAGTCCAGTTAATGTTCAAAGTTGAACGGTTGAGCAGGACAACTTGTTCCTCGCTTACGCGGCTCAGCAAATTACTCTTATCTTGTCGCATACCCGCCGTCGGGGTTCCATGTGCAGGTGCCAACTGTGATGGGAGG